TGAATGAATCTTGGTTTGGTTAAAGCTCTTTATCTTTGCAGACTTAGGGAATTTTCTGATATAACCCTCCACGTCTCGGCTTATAGTTTAAACCTCAGCTGTTTGTTCAATACACCGGCATGTATATCTTCTTAACGATTTCGGTGGTACAATAAGATCTCCACTACATATGACTCCTCTTTCAATTATTAATATTTTCCTTGCTTCCTTAAAATGTCTTTCCTTCGTAGAGCAATTGCTCCATACATTATTCCGTATTCTATTCAGGAGAAAAAAAAATATTTTATTCTTTTTAGCAAAGTGCCAATTTATCAGTTAAGTTCGACGCTGATGTAAAAACTATCTACAATCGTTACACATATTTGATACATGGAAGTCTGAATTCAAAGAAGTAGGTGGATATGGAATGAAACTAGGAGAAAAAAATATTTTATTCTTTTTAGCAAAGTGCCAATTTATCAGTTAAGTTCGACGCTGATGTAAAAACTATCTACAATCGTTACACATATTTGATACATGGAAGTCTGAATTCAAAGAAGTAGGTGGATATGGAATGAAACTAGGAGAAAAAAATATTTTATTCTTCTTAGCAAAGTACCAATTTATCAGTTAAGTTCGACGCTGATGTAAAAACTATCTACAATCGTTACACATATTTGATACATGGAAGTCTGAATTCAAAGAAGTAGGTGGATATGGAATGAAACTAGGAGAAAAAAATATTTTATTCTTTTTTTTATAAAGTGCCAATTTATCAGTTAAGTTCGACGCTGATGTAAAAACTATCTACAATCGTTACACATATTTGATACATGGAAGTCTGAATTCAAAGAAGTAGGTGGATATGGAATGAAACTAGGAGAAAAAATATTTTATTCTTTTTAGCAAAGTGCCAATTTATCAGTTAAGTTCGACGCTGATGTAAAAAAACTATCTACAATCGTTACACATATTTGATACATGGAAGTCTGAATTCAAAGAAGTAGGTGGATATGGAATGAAACTAGGAGAAAAAAATATTTTATTCTTTTTAGCAAAGTGCCAATTTATCAGTTAAGTTCGACGCTGATGTAAAAACTATCTACAATCGTTACACATATTTGATACATGGAAGTCTGAATTCAAAGAAGTAGGTGGATATGGAATGAAACTAGGAGAAAAAAATATTTTATTCTTCTTAGCAAAGTACCAATTTATCAGTTAAGTTCGACGCTGATGTAAAAACTATCTACAATCGTTACACATATTTGATACATGTCTGAAGGGAATTTTCAAACGGCAGGGCAAACACATTCGTATTTTAATTACACAAACCCGTTTATATAATCAAATATATGAGCACTCAAACATAAGGACGTATATTCAAACAGAAAATAAAAGAAGGAATAATTCAAAAAAGGAAAATAAAGAATAAAATAAGAATAAAAAGAAGAATAATTATAAATATAAAGTATAAAAATTCATCACAGCATGACGTATTGCAATGACGCAAAATTAAAAATAAATATGAATTATTATGTTTCAAAGTAAAACATTTATTAAAATAAATAAAATCAGTGAAATATCTACAAGTAACCTCTGAATTGTGTGATCCACTATGAGCCTTAAGCCCTGAAATGGATTTGCACATTTTACCGCAAAATTTACACAAGAAGTGAAGTTGATTGTTTATTGGAATTGTAAGATTTCATGTCTAGCTACAAACCTATTGCTACATACTTTACTACTAGTTGGCCAGGATAAATATGGAGAAATTAGTTGCGTGTAGTCAGTCGAAAATCTTACTGTATTGTTATGCTTATTGCTAGTTAAGTCAGTATGAGAGAGACAGACGAAACTACAAATAAGTTAAAAGAAAATAAAAGACTATTTTGAAATGGTTTATTAACTAAATCCAATATATAGTGAATCCGTAAGTGGATCAGTATGCCAGTAACGCGGAACAGTTTTCAAGTGAATGTTGTTCTGAATTTTTTTTATGTATAATGTTTAGGCTATGTGGTTTCATTAACAAGAAAGGAGATTATTTAGAAAATTAAATATTTACTGTATAAAATAAATGTTTTTTTCATTATTCATTTATTATCGATTACATCAACAGCAATCGTAATCACAGTGTTATCGTGACATCCACGATCCCATCGATAGCTGATATAGTATGTGTTTTGTCAGGGTTGCATACATTTTTTAATTCAAAGTTATTCTTCTCGTAAACTGATTGCAACCACGGATAGATATCCCAAATTACTATTTTTCCCATAGGCGAGAAGAGATATGTTCATATATTTCCCGAGGATATTTATAACGAACCCAGTTCGCTGATTTCTCTTTACAGGCACAAACCATTACACTACAAGAATTTTGATCATCATTAATAATTTTTGTTTTGTCTGCATCTTTCGATTTAGATACCGTTTCCCCACATGTTTTGTAGTTTTTATATCAAGAAACTCTAAATGTATTTCTTTTTAATGACATTGTTACTTGGTTACTTTTCTCGGAATAATAATAATAATAATAATAATAATAATAATAATAATAATAATAATAATTCGGCTGTTCCTGTGGTGTAATACAGCTTCAACATCCTTAATCGGAACATAGCTGACGTTAAGCGAATAAATGTTAAAACGAGAAAGCCACTTGCCACCGTTTGCATCATCCTAAGGCTGATGCTAATCGTCTGTATGTGCCCAGATCTGAAGGAGGCAGATGATTAGTTCAACTAGAATTTACAAACCCATAACAATCGGTCTTCAAAGACACCTGGAATCTAAAGAAGCCTGGATTATGATCTGTGTCAAAGAACATGAAAGAAATAAGAAACCTCATTCAGTAATAAAGGAATCCAACAAATTCAAAAAGGAAAGTTCAAGTGGGTGAAGAAGTGAACTATAATAAACCTAATGCAGTGGCAAAGAATCTAAAAAAGAAAGCAAATGCAATGTACCAAATGCAGAAACGATAGTAAGGCATATCTTTTCAACCAAACAAGCTGATGTAGACAAACCCCCTACCCATCAGCGGTTACGTAGTGCAATGTTAAAAGATCAAACCGAAGGTTTAATTATTGCTAACTAGAAATTACCAAGCACAAATACCGAAAAATTGTGTTAACACGAAAAGCAGATTCTGTGATAAATATCCACAAACAATTAACCATATTGTATCAGGTTGCACGGTGTTAGCACCAACTGAATATAAAACTCAGCATGATAAAGTGGGCCGATGTCTACACTGAAAAATATGCAACTTTTATAGGAAGGAAATTGCAAGAAACTGGTACGAACGTCACCGAGACTACGTTACAGTGATAGAACCTGTAACAATTTTATGGGATTTACGCAGACAGAACAATCAAAATTAATTGCCCAAACATAGTGATTAAAGACCATAAAAACAGAATGTGCTTTCTTATTACAGAAAGATTGCAGATTGTAATGTATCTTTAAAAATTTTCAAAAACTATCAAAATACAAGGATCTTAAAGTAGAAATCTAAAAAATATGGCATATGAGAACATCAATAATTCCAGTTGTAGTTGTATCCATCGAACTGATTGGAAAAGGTTCCGATAGACTCATTGAAATGATTCCTGGTAGCTCATTCCTTAAGAAATGCAAAACATTATACTCACAAGTACAGCTCATATATTACGAATAGCTTTCTTTATGTAAAATGTGTGTTGTCTGCTTTATTTTTTTTGTGGGGAGTTACAAAATGAGCAGTGGTAAATGTCATGAAGCCGTTTCTGACCTTAGTTCTCTAGTTGGGAGCCGGAAAGAAATGTGTATACAACAGAAACCCAAACAAATAATAATAATAATAATAAGAAGAAGAAGAAGATTTTTTTATACCTTCGATTTCATTCCATTTTCCCAAAAGTTTTGTAATTTTTATATTAAGCAATTCGAAATTGAATTCATTTTTAATGGCATTATTACTTGGTTACTTTTCTTGGAATAATAATAATAATAATAATAATAATAATCAGGAGAAGAAGAAGAAGAAGATGATGATGATGATGATGATGATGATGATGATGATTCTGCTGTTGATGATGATGAATTTTTGTTTTTTCCTACATCTCTTGATTTCGTCCCGCTTTCGTAAGAGTTTAGTAATGTTTATACCAAGCAATTCTAAATTTCCTTCTTTATTTTTAAAATATTATTCTTCATTTATTACACTCTCCAAATAATAATAAAATCTGGTTCACGCTCAATAGCCCGGTTATGTGAAAATCATGTAGAGATTAACCACTTAGTATTTGGATCTTTAATCCTGGCACTGAAGGAGTCCACAAATCGACATGATAGGATTGACCAGTATATTCATTGGAAGATATGTCAATATTACAGTGGGCAACATGCTAAAAATAGAGTGAACATCACCCTGAACTAGTCATAGTAAGTCATTTAAGAGACTATTCTTCAGGGCTTTACCATTCATACGGACAGTAATATAACAGCTAATAGCAATGAAAGACGACAAATAAAAGAAGAGTATTTTCGTGAATATGACCGTGTTATTTACTAAAAATATAGAAGAAGAAGAAGAAGATGGGGATGATGACGATGATGATGATGATGATAAATTTTTGTTTTGCCTGCTTTTTCGATTTTACTCCCTTTTCGTAAGAGTTTTGTAATTTTTTGTATCAAGCAGTTCTAAATATTTTTTAAATTGTCATTTTTAATAGATAAGTTTTCTCCTGATAATAATAACAATAATGAGTCATTTGCATTTTTACTGTTTATCAACCCCTGCAGGTTAGAGCCAGAAAATATTCTTTAGATTGTAAGCTTTTTATTGGAGATAATAAGTATTTACTAATACAAGTACTACTAATTGACCTACAGCTGGGGGAATAAGAGGCGGATTCATTCCTTTCCCAAGGCCATATAAGTGAATATGACGAACCCGGCTGGAATTGGAAATCGGAGATCCGAGTTCCAATTCCAAGCTGTTATAACATTACACCAACCGCACATCCAAGTTTACAACACCTGGTATTCTCAAGTGATCACCCATCTAGGTACTGAACAGGCTCGACGTTGCTTAACTTTGGTGATCGTAGGAGAACGTGATGTAGGTGTGAGCATAATAATAATGAGAAGAATAAATTTTACTAAAATAATAATAATAATAATAATAATTAAGATAAGCAAAATGATCCTGGAAAATTGCAGGAGACATTGTAGAAATCTTAGTGCAGCGTGGATTGATTATTGCAAAACATTTGACAGTGTTCCACACTCAGGGATCCTTAAGACTTTGGAAATGTACAAAGTCTTCCCCTGTGGTAGTAAATTTCCTTAAGCACAGCATGGGAATGTGGAACACCACACTTTGCCTAAATCACATCAGAGGCACTGCCATCTCCAACCGTCTGAATATCCGACGCAGAATCTTTCAAGGAGACTCCCTCTCACCTGTTCTGTTTTGTTTGTCCTTAATCTCCCTTATGCATGAACTAAACAACAGTAGCTATGATTACAAACTAGATAAAAAAATATTCAATCACCTACTCTACATGGATGATCTCAAACTCTTTATCATCTCTCATCAATCCATAAATCCATTGCAAAATATCTATCAACGCTTGTAAATAATCCTGATGAAATCCCAGATTGGATCACTGAAGCATTACATATCTCATGCCAAAAACGACTGAAACAGATGATCTGAAAAGTTACAGCCAATAACATGTCTCTCTACCATGTATAAGTTGATCACATCTGTCCTGGTGAACCGAATTTACTCTTTCTTCGAAGCAAACAACATTCTTCCACTAGAACAGAAGGGATACAGAAGAGGTTCACATAGCTGCAAAGATCAACTTCTGATAAACAAAATGATCCTGGAAAATTGCAGGAGACGATGTAGAAATCTTAGCACAGCGTGGATTGATTATCGCAAAACATTTGATAGTGTGCCACACTCTTGGATCCTTAAGACTTTGGAAATGTACAAAGTTTCCCCTGTGGTAGTAAATTTCCTTCAGCACAGCATGGGAATGTGGAACACCACACTTAACGTAAATCACACCAGAGGCACTGCCATCTCCAACCGTCTGAATATCCGACGTAAAATCGTTCAAGGAAGCTCCATGTCACCACTTCTGTTTTGCCTGTCCTTAATCCCCACTAAACAACGGTAGCTATAGTTACAAATAAAACAAAAAATATTCAATCACCTACTCTACTCGAACTCTTTGCCAAAGACAACAATGGATTGAAGGGCCTCCTCAATATTGTAAAATGTTTCAATGACGACATAGATATGGAGTTCGGATTAGATAAATGTGCAAAAGTAACATTCAAGAAAGGAAGAATTACAGAAACATCAACAACAGATTTAGATTTTATCACAAAGATTAGGGAACTGGAACAAGATGAAGCCTATAATTACCTAAGAATTAGCGAAGGAGATGATATACAACATACCCAAATGAAGGAGAAGGTAAGAAAGGAGTAGTACAAACGTACTGAATTTAAAAAAAAACAAACAGAATATCAGCCATAAACACCCTGTGGTGCAATACAGCTTTAACATCCTTAACTGAACCATAGCTGACATTAAGAGAATGGACTCCAGAACGAGAAAGTTTCTCACTTGCTACCACATGCATCATTTCAAAGCTGATGTTGATCGTCTGTATGTGCCCAGATCCGAAGGAGGCAGAGGATTAGTTCAACTAGAACTGTCTTACAAAACTACAACAATTTGCCTTCAATACCTGGAAACTACAGAAGACTGGTTGATATGTGTCAAAGAACTTGAAAGTAGTAAACGTCATTACTACCTAATAAAAGAAGCCAACAAGTTCAAAATTGAGTTTCAAATGGGTGCAGAAATACAAGTAAACCACAATACACCGACTGAAGCGGCAAAATACTTAAAAAAAAGAAAAAGCAAATGCAACCGACCAGGTACAGGAAACAATGACAATATAAACCGCTTCATGGCCAATACTCTGCCCGTACCAAACAAGCTGACGTAGACAAAACCCGTACCCATCAGTGGCTACCTAGTACAGGATTTAAATGTGAAACCGAAAGTTTTATCTTTGCTGAACAGGACTAATGCTGGTTAACTAGGAATTATCAAGCACACATACGAAAATATTGTCTTAGCCCAAAATGCAGGTTCTGTGCTAAATATCCGGAAACAATCGATCATCTTGTATCAGGTTGCATAGTATTGGTACCCACTGAATATAAATCACGACATGACAGAGTTGGCTAATATCTGCACTGGAAAATCTGCAACTTTTACGGAAAGGAAACTGGAAGAAACTGGTATGAACACCACCCACTCCGGTTACGGAGATAAGACCTGTTATAATTCTATGGGACTATACAAGACACACAGACAGAAGAATCAAAGCTAACCGCTCAGACATTGTTATTAGAGAACGCAAACAAAAAAGTGCCTCCTTATTGATATGGCAGTCCCTGAAAATTGCAATGTTTCTTTGAAGATCTTCAAAAAGCTACCAAAATACACCTTGAAATCGAAATCGTAAAATGTGGTAATTGGGAACATCAACAAACCCTATTGTAGTTGGAGCTCTCGGATTGTTTTGAAAAGATTCCAGTAGACTCATTGAAGGGATTCCTGGAAACCCATGCCTTAAAGAAATACAAACAATTGTTCTCACTAGTACAGCCCACACCTTACGAAGGGCTTTATCTATTTAAAATGTGTGTGTGTGTTTGTATGTGTGTGTGTGTGTGTGCCTGTCTGTCTGTCTGTGCGTGTGTGTTTTTTTATCTGTGTTTTAATTGATCAGTGGAAAATGTTATGATGCCATTTCTAACCTTAGGTTCCCGTGGCGGGAACCGGAAAAAATGTGTACACACCAGAAATTAAAAAAAAAATTAATAATAATAATAATCTTTGCATACGAATTATGCAAATATATGCATAGATTATGTAATTATGCTATATATCTATAGCTATAGTATATTATGCTATATACAGGGTAATATTAGGCTATAAACAGGGTAATTGGTAAATTTTCGCTTTATATCTTTAATTTCGCGCATTTACATTGTTTGCACAGTATAGTAGGGTCAGTTGGGCACCGTCTGTGAGAAAAAGAGCATATTGACGCAATTCAATCTGTCAGAAGTTTGGGAACGAATTTGTACTTCTTGGCATTCGCGTCGGTAGCTCCAATGCGAACATTGCAGAGTGTTTGGGTGTCAATCTGAGGACAATGCACAGGATTTGGAAAGAGTTTGATTAGTTTAAATGTAATTACAAAGGTACGGCAGCTCGGAAAACTCACTTTGATCGTCCTTATTTGTTGGTGAGGGCCTCAGATTCAAAAGAGTCCTACATCAAGTGCCTTGAGGAGGTAGTGCTGCCCTGGGTTAAGAGGGTGGCTGCTAGAAGACCCTGTATCTAGCAACAAGACTCATCACTATGTCACACAAGCATGAGAATTCAGTCATGGCTGTCAGACAATTTTGCGATCAAATCACCCCTTACATCTGGCCACCTAACACCCCTGACTGAAACCCCCTTAATTATTATGCGTGTGGCGCTGTTGGACGAGAGACCAACAAAGCTCTTTGTAACACCATAGATAAACTGAAGGTAAGGATTATGGCAGCATTCACCAACTTAAACAACGAGACCATCCAGAAGAGTTGTAGGAGATTCCGAAGTCGACTGAAGGCCGTAGTTGAAGCCAATGGCGATTTTATTAAATAAATTTCCTCTTTTATATTTCAAGACAATTTTGTGTAATTTTGGTAAATATATCTATTAAAATTCATTTTTGCGTCATTTAGACGACACTTTGCCCTTCACAACCTCTATATCTATAGGAAATATATATATTGTTATAGATACAAATATTTAAGTAAATGCTATGTTTATAATAAACAGTATTAACAACATTTACCGGCCTGAATGACCAAGCAATTCCAGACCGGTAAGTGTTGTTAATGCAGTTTATTAGAAACATAGCATTTACTTAAATATTTCTATCTATAAAAATAACTTATAAACAGAAAATATATTGTCGGATTTAGTCTATTTCATAATATATTCATAGATTATAGAAATTATATAACAATATATATTGTAATTGTTACAACAGTTCTAAATTTATATGTTTTTTAATTGTTTTGCTTTTTATAAGTGCAATTAATTTTTGTAGATTGAAATTATAAAGCAAAATGATGAGGAAAGAGATTATGCGGAAAAATAAGTATTTTTGATGTAAAATAAATGTTTTTGTCAGTATACTACAAAATTGTTTGCTTAACTATATAATTACTAAGAGGGAGGATGAAAGCGTAGAAAAAGAAAAAATACAAAGAAAAAATACGCATGAAAGATCAGTAGATGACATCAGAAACTGAATATTATCTCTTCTATTTCCTTTCAGCTGGAAAATAAAACCTGTTAAATATGTTTATCACTTATAAAATAATATAATTATCCCTTTTATGAACTATGAAAAGATCTGATTCTTATCTTTAAGATAAAATGAAAATTATATTGTTCTGTTTGACATTAGTTATGACGTATTAATTTATAATTTGCTAAACCAATAACTCTAAGTTTTCTCTGTTGAAATTTAATTCTAATTCTTAATAAAACTTGTAAATATGTTCTAGATGTCTACTTATTCATATACGCTCAGAAACTATAAAGCGGTAAGTCACGTCAATTTTGCAAACATTTCTTCTTCTTCTTCTTCTTCTCCTCCTCCTCCTCCTCCTCCTTCTTCTTCTTCTTCTTCTTCTTTGTTACGTATCCCTTGAGAACGTGAGCTGTCATTGCTCTCAATCTTCTTGTCCTTTGTAGCTCTTTTTTGTTTTTTTGCTATCTCTCCTAATCCCTGTTCTACCAACCATTTATACTAACTTGTTTTACTTCTTCGTCTTCTTCCATGTGCCGCGTCCATTAAAAACGTAGGCGAATAAGGTTCTTCCCAATTTCTTGTCCTTTTTAGCTTTTAGTAAATGTTGTCTTTTCGCTATTTCACCTAACCCCTGTTCTGTCAACCATTTACACAAGATCCTCCTCCTCCTCCTTCTTCTTCTTCTTCTGTGTGATATGTC